CCCCTTCAGTGTAACGGACACATTCAGGATTTAATCTCTCTGTGGGCTATCTTTCCTCTAATAGAGTCTGTTACGCCTGCCGAGCACCCTGGATTTGCTTGACATGCTAAAAGAGATTGCTTTTAGAGAGAGAGAAAATACCCCGCAGTGGAGCCTGGGTTGAGGTTTCCATAGTGAGTCGCTATCACATGTCTTGTCTGAAGGGCACAGGGAGGTCATCTCAGGCAGTGGGGTCAAGGGAGGCCAGCCCACCCCCTGGGAGTCCAGAGACCCTTAAGCTCCATCTGCCTCAGTTTCTTCACTTGTAAAATGAGAATTATAATTTTATCTCAACACGGTGAGGCAGATAAATCCATTCAGAGGCAAATATTAAATTCTGAAATTCACTTCCCTGAAGGAAAGGAACAGTACATCCACTCCGTTCTCTTCACGGGCCACCAACAAATGGACAACCCCCCTGGCGTCATTAGAATCGTTCAAGTTTGATATAACTTACGCCACAGTAGTCAGGTAATAACAGGTAGGCATTGTTTTGGAGAATACATTCTTTCAAATTGGTGGTAGAATTTGGCAGTTCTAAACTTCCTCAATGTCTTGATTTTCATAGGACTTATGAAGAATTTGAAATGAAATAATTTTTTTAAATGTAATTCTTATACAGTATTAAGTCTGTTTATCGCTTATGGTATTCTGCCAAGAATTTCACAGCATTTGTTAAATGGCTTTGAACAGAAATGGGGGAGAAGTTGTCAGTCTGCGTATTATAGAATATTTCATGCTGGTTGAAAACTCAGGCTCTGAAGTTAGAACACTTCTGGGTCTAGGTCCCAGCTCTACTACTTACTAGTTTTGTGACCTTGAGCAAGTCATTTAACCTTCAGTGTCTGCTTCAGGGAAATGGAGATGTGTACCTTATAGGGTTCTTTGAAGGATTAATTGTTGTATGCATGTACGGTGCTTAAAATAGTGCCCAACGCAGAGTTAGCACTGACTATATTTTTGTAAATACAGCAAGATGGGGTGTCACAATGTGAAAGCTGAGGGGTTTCTGACAGAGGTGGGGAACCAAGTGGGGATGTGGTCATGGTCATGTGTGTCTGGGTTCTGCATGCCAGGCACTGCCTCCACTGGCGATGAAGAGTGACGCTTGCAGCCCACCCTAACCGGCAGACATCCTGTAGCTCTGGCCTTGGCTGATGGTGTTAACAGAAGTTCGTGTTAACAGAAGTTCCATTCACACAGTCTTTATCTCAAGCCACCTTCGCAGCTTCTTTGAAGTTGGGTTTGTCTGGAGCACCATAGCTGAGCAGATGAATACCCGGGCTTTGTAGACCAGACAGCTCTGACTTTGAATAAGTGGGTCCTTTTACTTATTTTGCAGCTTTGGGCCACAAAATAACCTCCTTGTTATAAAAATGATAATCCCTACATTATAGGGTCCTTGTGTCTAACATATGGTAAATACCATTCTCCAGCAGCTATTATAATTTTCTGAGAGACCCTGAAACCTCTTTACAGCGGGTTTCTAACACCCAGGCTCTAGTCCTGATCATGCTGATGATCTAGATAAGGCGCATGGGTCTGAGCAGCCATGGAATTCTGCCTATTCTAGCTGTGCCACTTGTTGCTACTTAACAAACTGCCCCAAATTTAGTGGCATAAACAATTTTGCCTTTATGTCCATGGATTTTGGGGGGTGAGGGATTTGGGCCAGGCACAGCAAGGATGGCTTATCTCTGCTCGGTGAGGTCTGGGGCTCCATGAGGGAAGGCCGAGGGCGGGGATTATCTGGAGGCTTCCTGACTCATCTCTGGAGCCTGGGCTGGATGACTTGAAGACTTACACAGCGGGAGCTACCAACTAGGCTCTGAACTGTGGTCTCCGTGTGTCTTGGACCTTGTCACAGCATGGTAGCTGAGAGCATTCTCAGAGAGACAGGCAGAAGCGCGCGGCCCTTCCTGAGCTAGCCTTAGAAGTTGCTCCCCTGGTAGAAGCCATCAGAAGCCCACCCAGATTCAAGCAGTGGGAGTAGAAGGAACTAAGACCCACTTGTCCACGGAGAGGCGTGTTCAGCCAATTTTGATAAAATTATGGGATTGTGGCTCCTATCTAGGGGACATGTTAGGGCTTCTGACTTTTACATATAGCAAAGCAGGGCACACAGTCTCTATTGCAACTGCTTACCTCTGTGTTGTATAATGGAAGTAGCCATAAGCGATATGTAAACAAATGGATGTGCTTTCATAAAACTTTACTTACAAACATTTTGATTCCCAGTCAGGTCACAGTTTGATTCCCAGTCAGGGCACATGCCCAGGTTGTGGGCTTGATCCCAGTGCGGGGTGTATAGGAGGCAGCCAATTAATGATTCTCTTTCATCATTGATGTTTCTATCTCTCTCTTTCCCTCTCCCTTCCTCTCTGAAATTAATAAAAATATATTTATAAATAAATAAATAAATCTGCAAGTCATTCTTAGCTCCTACAAAAACAGGCAGTGCTTAGCTAGATCTGACTTTTTTTAAATTAGAATTTTCCAAATATGTAGAAGAAACACATAGATATTTTTCATGTGTTTGTGAATGTTTCTATGTATGTGAGGGAAGGAAATGATTGTGAATTTCATTTTCCCTTTAGAAATGAATCTGTGAAGATATTTGGAATGGCAGTTATTTCAAATATGCCTTATCTTTAATGATAGACTACACTCTTGATGCTTGCAGGTGGAAAATTCATGACATTTATTTCAGAACATAGAAAAGAGAACTTAGTCTTGGAGTTTCCAGAAATACATATTGTTGTATATTTTTTAAGTAAGCACTCCATGTTTTTAAAGAGGCCATTGATCCTTAGACCAAAAAGATAAGGGTGATGAGGACTCTCAGGGATCAGATATTTTTGACCTTTATTAATTTATTAAATATTTTTATCTGACTAGAATACCAGGCAGTGTACTAAATGCTGAAGATAAAGAAATGAACAACAACTTATATGTAGTGCTTGCCCTTACAGGGCCTACAGTCTAGTGGGGTAACCAGATGTTAAATAGATGATAGCATGAAAGTGTAATATGTGTTATGAGGGGGGAATACAGGGCACCATGAGAATATATATTAGGTTTTAAGCTGGAACTTTTACTCTGCCTGTCCCTCAGCTGCCCATTGAATGTGAGAGGCTAGGAAATAGAGATGGTTACAATAACGCAAACTGCTCTTAAAAAAAACATGTCCACACATCTGCCGATGAGTGGATAGTCCTATAGCTCTGTATTTGGGTTACATTTTAAAGAACTGTAGGCATATGTGATCCCTCTTTCACATTACTTTGAGAAAGGAAAAACAAGGATCAAAGTAGAAATGTGTAAATCTTGAAACTGGTTAGATTTTTTTTCTCCTTAAGGTACCATTTTGGATGGGTAGAGAACTAACCTGGAAAAACAGCCTGGAACTGATTGACTGAATTGCAAAACTGGGATAATTCTTTGATTTTTCACTACATTAGGTTTTCTCAAGTGGGGCACTATTGCCATTTTGGGTTGTATAATTCTCGGTTATGGGGCTGTCCTGTGCATCCTAGCCTCCACCTACTAGATGCCAGTAGCACCCCACCAAGTTGCAACAACCAAAATTGTCTCCAAACTTTGCCACATGTCCCCTAGGGGGGTAAAACCACCAGTGGTCTAAGTTAAGATGGGAAATGAAACTGTTTCTCTACATTTTATTGCAAAGACCCCAGCAAGAAAAAAACATACATTTCTTTTTCATAGTAAGAACTCTAGCTCAGGGAATAGAATTGCAGGTGGAGTTGTTAATTTTTGAGTCACAAAATTCCTCCTTTCAAAATGCTGAAATGAATTTGGACAATCCATTATCAGATGACACATTACTCTCGTACATACTCTCGTTAAGTCCAGAAAGTTTTCTAAATGTTGTAGTTTGTGCAGTATTTAGCAAAGCTGAGAGAGAGCCTCAGTTATCGAATTGAAACTTAAAAGTTTCCAAATATCACTGGAACGACATCAGATTTTACAATCGACTTGAAAATAACAAATGAAGATATTTTGAGTTGGCTCCATGTTCTTAGCCTGTAAGCTATTGGATTTGTGTGAGAGGCATGACCCAAAGGAGATGATTAGTTCTCCACTGATAATGAATAGCTCTACAAAACCAATTAGCCATAATTCTCTCAGTCATTTCATTTGGGTAACATTCTGTTTAAGGGGAAGGAAAACAACACTGTTTTCCTTGGAGAGCTGTAATTAAGCTGTGATGTTTGATGGGAACAATGGAGGAAAGAGCAGTATGCGTATCCATTTGCTTTTGTTTTTCCCACATGAAAGTAAATTATGATGAAGTGCTCTGTTCATAGCAATTAAGAAAGACATTTGTCCATTTTAAAGGTGGAACAGACCAAACAAGTGTATTTCTAATTCTACATGTTGTTTTGTATGGATATCTGCATTGCAACACCCCAGGGACTTGCCCTTCACATGGAAGACGGTGTTGGTGAACCCAGAAGTTGTGTAGGCCGAGACCCTAAATGTCATTTTTTCCTGTTATGTATTTTCTCCCTGAAAAAAAAATCTATGTGAATCCAGAACCACATGTAGTAGGGTTTTTCCTTCCAATCATTATTGTTGCTCCATAACTCCCAATGCCCACTGTCATACCGACAACCCTAGCAATGAACTTTGTTTTACTTTATCTAGCAAGGCATTTCATGGATTGCTGCTGCTCTATTTGAATTTGGACACGTGAAAAGTTCTTAATGCCTTATCCTCTGTTTTAAGACAGAAGATATTCCTTGATTGTTATCTGAGTATCCTTCTGGGCATTTTGCAAGTTTTAATCTCAATGTACACCGTGGAATAAGACTTGGATGTGTGTTGTTTTACCTGAAGTTTAATACATGCTGGTTGCGACACACATTAGCTTAATAGAAAAAGTATAGTAGGTTATTGTCTTGGGCTTTCAATTTATTTTGCTCTCTGTCGTCCCACAGCTGGCCAAAAAAATCCGAGAGAAGTTCAACCGTTACTTGGATGTGGTCAACCGGAACAAGCAAGTTGTAGAAGCGTCCTATACAGCTCACCTGACCTCTCCCCTCACTGCGATTCAAGACTGCTGTACTATCCCACCCTCCATGATGGAGTAAGACTTCAACATTTTTTTGTTGTTCTTTAAAGCAGGAATTGAACTGTTTTCCATTCATCTTCAAAATACCTGTGTTTGTGTATTGCAACGTGTATAGTATTCCTATCTTAAATAAGTCCTTTACTCTTACATAGACAAGTAATCTTTAAAGACTCACTCTTCTATATACAGGGAATTCCTGGACTCCCCCTGCTCATCTTTTTGCCATGCTGGAATTCAGGTTCAAAAGTATCAAATATTGTTTGAGTGCAGAGTTGACTAAGTCTGGAAAATTGCAAACATTTTGTCATGCGTCAATTAGTAAGTCATGAATAAGGTCATCTTGCCTGCTTTTCATCTTTGATAAGAGCAGCAAAAATTCCTACTTATTATAGTGTCAATACCACCTTTAAAACTACCAGGGGAAATGTGGCTTCAGATGATATTGAAACAGAATTAGTATCTGTATGTTGCAGATATTTTTATTGGGCTATGATATTTATATCTGGAAGAGTGTAGGGTCATGTGATGCTGGGAATTGTTTGTGGTGAAAAGAACACTCCTCTAGAGGTACAAAGAACTAAATTTTCAATTTGACTTGGCCTTTAATTGGCTGTGATATTAATCCAGTTACTTAGTGTTTATTTTTATGTGCAGTTTTCTATCAGTGGATAAGAATCTTTATTATACCAATTTCCTGGGCTATTTAGAATGTGTAAAAGGTGTTACCATGCTTTAAACACTGTGAGTGGAAATGTTACCATAATTAGCATGTATTACTTCTCTTTTTGCACAATAAATGTTCTTGAGGTTATGCAAAGGATGGATACAATATATTTTTTTAGTGGTTAAATGATGCTTTGTTTCTACAAGCAATTTTTTACATATAGTTTCATGGTGGGCTACATTGGTAGCAGGGCATCCCTAAGATATTTTATTTCTTCATCTATGTAATATTATCATGAGCCTTCTCTCTGGCTTTTTCCCTGTCTGTGGCCCAAAGCAGCTCACATTAGTTATTTACTAAATTAACTGGAAAGTGTATACAGTTTGGAACGAGACTACCTGGATATAAATCCTACCTATAGCACATAATACTCAGATGGTCTTGCGTATTTGATGTCTTTGAGTCACCCTGTCTTCATCTCTAGAATGGGAACAATAATGAGCACTTCACAGGACGGCGTGAACATTCAGCGAAGTCAATGTGAAAATACTTTGTAAACTGTAGTGTTCTGAACACATACTAGTCATGATACTTATATGCGCCCATTGCATAGTGAACATTTTATTTTTGCTTACTGGGTTTAATCAAAGGAGATACCCATATTTATAACTGACATCAGTAACAATGTTTTTTGACAAATTTATCTCTTACCTAAAAATAAATTTAGGGTCCAGTAGGTTTTGAACTAAAGAAAAAGTCACTTTTAGGACTTAGAGAAAAGATAATATAGTAAGCCCTTAGATCTAGATCTAGAATTATACTTAACCAGTGATTCTTAGTCACCAGAGGTGATTTTTTTCGTTTCCCCCCTCAAGGGACACTTGGCAATCATGTTCAATTAGTTGTCATGGTTGGAAGGTGGGGATAGTTGCTACTGGCATCTAGTGACTGGAAGCCAGGGATGTTGCTCACACCCTCTAATGCACAAGATAGCCCCCCAAAACAGAGACTTGTCTGGCTCAAGACATCATTGGTGCAGAGGTTGAAAAACCCTGGTTTAGAAGATTAGAGAGATCTTCATGGTTTCCTAAGTGGTCCTATTGCTGTAGATGAAACGAGAAGCTTAAATAGACTGGTGTCGACTGGTGAATATGTCTCATTTCTATTACTCGCATGTGTCCACTAGTAAGTCATGAGTAAATGTTTCCTGAATTTCTATTAATGTTTCCTTTAATGTAGAACTTAAACATATCGTGCATTGTTGGTGGTGAGTCTGCCTCCCCTGCTGTTCTGGGCGGGAATTACACCTCATCCATTTTGACCCCCGCACCTGCCAGTTGGGTTTAATTACTATTGGTTGGAATCAGAATTGATTTGAATATGGGGATGAGTAAGGGGATGTCCACTCGAAAGAAATTCAAAAATTATTGGGTGAGGGGCAAATGCTGAACATAATTTGTAGTTAAGACAAAATGTGACACAGCTGGGAGGTGCTGTGGTTCCTCAAAGCCGAGAAATATACCAGGTGAATGGCATCACAAAAGACTAGACACTTTAGAAGTATGCTTTGTATTTGATCTGGTCATTTGGAGGAATAGCACAGAAAATAATCAGACATGTTTATAAAGATAAACGTGTAAAGAAGGTCATTGTAGTGCCATTTAGAATAGAGAATATTGTAAAGACCCAACATTTCTAACAATAGGGGATTCGATAAGGCAGTTGTATCATATTAAAGTGAGAAGATAAAATACAACCATGCTGTAGAAGAGTATTTGCTTACTTGTGAAAATGACCATACATGCATACAAACACATTCATAATACACACACATGCACACATTAAAAGTTTGGGAGGAGTTGCACCAATATGTTTTGGGGTAAAGACAGTGATTTCCATTTTGCATGTGCTGAGATAAGGGTCCAGATCTGAGATGGCCATCCAGATGTTTGGTAAAACCCAGTGGTTTACCCTTGGTGCATACAGTAAAACATAAAATGTAGTTTCTACCCCCCAGGAATTTTTCATTTAGTGAAGTTAACATCCAGGAGACCTTAAGTGCACTCCTACCAGGATACATGCTGAGCAAACAAGTTAGTGTGCAAGGCTGTTCCTCCTTCAGAGGTTGGGCTTCTGCATTGGATGTTGAATGAGGACTTTGCAGAGCTCTGATGCAATCTTCTCTCCTCACTGGTGATTGACAGAACTGAGAACTGCCATTTGGGATGAATCTTGTAAAACCAGAGCCGTTCTGACTCTAAAGTTGAGTGCTCAGAAGATGTACAGATGAGCGAGAGACTGGTCCCCTCTGGTGGAATGTTAGGGAGCTATCTGATAAAACCTGTGTGCCCCAGAACTGGCAAGTCGTGGCTCCCTTTGCTGTGCATTGAGCTCACTTTCTAGGGACCTGGGTGTAGGAATTTTTGGAGTGGACTCTCAACTGAAGCTTTTCTAGTCATTGGCTTAAGCAATAACACTTTCTGAAATTACATACTCTGCCAACTTTTTAATGAAGATTCAAAGTGGAAAGAGTTATAGTAAGTGAAGGAGGGTAAGCATGCTTAGCTGCTTTTGTTCCAGTCCCTCATAAAACAGTTTTATCTGCATTTTATAACTTTTGTGGTATTCTACTGACCACATTTTCAGTCCTTTCTTTCCTATTTCCAATCCCTCTGAAAATGTCTACATTTTTAATCGTAGGAAGTTCACATTGGAGTTCAGTGCGAAAAGGAAGGCTCCCAGTCTTTGGAAGCAATATAAGGACATGACTATAAGTAATTTTTTTTAAATGGCAGGCACATTTGGTTTTGAGTTATACCTCTTTCACTCATAGTTGACCTTGGGAAGTCACTTCGTTCTAAGCTTCAGTTTCCTTATCATTGAGCTAATACCTGCCTTTCAGGGTTATCTCCTTATCAGTGAGATGAAAAGAATGATAATACCTACCTCATCGGGAGATGTTTTTAAGTTATAACTTTTAAATTTGATAATTACGTATTTCAATATTATCTTCTATGTCAAGGGATATACTTTTTTTTTCTCTTATGGCAATAACACAAGTTTCTTCTTAAAAAATAAATATAACTGAATTTAAAAAGTGAGTTAAGTTAAATAAAAATAAGTGAATGTGACCAAAAGTTTGAAGGTGATAGATATGATAATGATTGAAGTTTATGAAAAATTGACTCAAGATTGTTGCTAAAGTCCTTCCAATATCTGGCCACATGCACAAGTGTTAAAACAGCTATTACAATAAATATAAGCAGTTTGACTTGAGATGAAGGAGCTTCAGTCTTAGACCTGGATCTTGCCCATTGTTATATAGGGGCCCTATAAGCATTTTTTAAAACTCAGCGTTGGCCCAGTGGCACTCTACCTACTTGTCACTAACATTTTACGTGCCTGTGGCCTATTGACTTTGATTCTTTTTCAAATGTATTAAAGATAAGCAGATACTAGGGGAGAAAATGTCCACCCTTTGTTTGGCCCTATAATTTCAATTATACTGAATTGTAGTCAGTATTTGGTTTTCCTCTCTAAGGCTTAATAATGCATATTTTTTAAAATAAATTCCCACCCTGGCTGCATGGCTCAGTTGATTGGAGCATTGTCCTGTACACCAAAAAGGTTGTGGGTTCAATTCCCAGTCAAGGCACATACCTAGGTTGTGGGTTTGATCCCTGTCAAGGTGCGTATGGGAGGGCAACCTATCAATGTTTCTCCCTCACATTGATGTTTTTCTCTCCCCCCTACCCTCTCTCTCTCAAATCAATATACATACCCTTAGGTGAGGAAATAAATAAATAAATAAATAAATGAATAAATACTAAATAAATACCCAGTGCTGAGGAGAGAGAGGCTGTAAAGCATTCTATTACAGAGCATTCTGCAGATTACACTTTGTTTATACTTTGATGACAACAGAGAGAACCTACAAAGCAGCAGAAAATTTGACTTTTTTAGACACTTTTGATACTTTCCTTCTCAAATTAGCCAGCTCTTAAAGTTCTTATGCAGGAGCCCAGAAGTGAATTATTTTGTACAGGACCCTGCATGATAATTAGGCACTCCATCGTTATTTGTTGAAGGAATTCTCTGAAGAATTAACATTCTCAATATGGAAAAAAAAACACATAGGCTAAGCTAAGCCTTAATCTAAGACAAACTCATTATTATTGCTATCACTTAAAATAACATAATTTTGAAAAAAGTTCATATAATTGTGTAATTTAATTAACAGCTCCCTGTGTGTTGTGTTGGGTCAAGGGATGAGGGCCCGCGAGATCCTGGGCTCTCCCACAAGAAGTGCAGACACCCAAACACATAATCACACTCACGGCCTGTATCTAGC